GACCAGCCCGGGCAGGACTGCTACCGTTTGGCTCCACGACTCCCCTGGTGCTGTCACTGAACTGTGGGGATTATTACTGGCTCTGTTTTTATAGATATAAAACAGACAGAATATTTGGTTGGTGATATTACTTTCCTTCACTCGCTGTAAATCTGATACTGCTACTGTAGGTTTCAGGTGTGACGCAATCAAAGTGTGCTGTCTCAGTAAGTCATTACCCCCGAGACATCAATCAAGTCAGCCCCACCGTTACTCACCCGGAGATCTGCCCCCTCCCCTCCGACCTGATAAAAAAAAGTCCGTGCTTGTGATTCTCAAACCTGGGATAACCCCTGGTGGAGAAATGAACTGAGAGCTCTTAAAAAATAATCACTAAAAATAATCAAACTACTTCATTTTATAACATCAGTTCTCTCGATGAAAAGCACAAAGTAAAAAATTAAAAAAAGTAATTTTGATTTATTGTTCTAACAGTCACATGTATCCTTTACTATGACGTTTACTATGTAGTCTGTATTATTTATTGCACCAATAAAAACATGATCTTATCGGGCTTTTTTTTTTTACTTCTGTAGAGTACGCAGGTCCTCGTTCTGCCCTGCAGATGGTGCTATACACAAAAATAAAAGTTACTTTTATTAAGTTGAGAACGAGAAAAAACAAATATTAGCCTTAAAAAAATTCGAGTTTAAAAAGTCAAAACGTTCTCTTTTTTCCCATTAAAATAAGTGATGCATTTTGGTCTGGACAAAACAGAGACGCTGGATATAAAAATGCCAACAATTGTTGTTTCCAACACCTTCACCTGTGAGTTAACGATAAATTACAACCAAGTTTTAAAATAAAAATCACAAGAATGAAAATTGTATGAGAAGTTTGACAAACAGTCATAACTGTATTTCTGAAATCAAACAAATTGTTAGATGTCAGTGGTCACTGAGAATAAGGTCAGTCTCATGTCCACCCTGTGACATATCACTGTCATTCACTACTTTTTCTGATATCCGTCACGATAATGGCGATAAATCATCGTACGGAAATTATCGCCAGACTTTTTACGTTGACGTAACAGAGAAAGCTCCCTGTCTTTATTCACTTTATTCTCTGTCCTCCGGGGACAGCCTGGGTGTCTGTCCATGGTGCTAACCCACCCCCCAAAAAAACCACTGTCCATGGTGCTGAAACGCGCCGCCCAAAGACGTGACTTTGTACTTGTGCCCTTAATCTCTCTGGACCGGGTGCAGACGACGGCCCGTGTCTCCGTGTCTCCGTGTCTCCGTGGCGGTTGGCGGCGTTGATACTGCGGTGTTTCAGGCTCACACGGGCGGGGGTTAACGTTCGGCTGCTGTGTATAACGTTTTACCGATGGCTCTCGTGATGTTTTCAAACGTTGCAGAAACAACACGAGTGTCTTGAACGCAGCCCGCTCGCAGCATTACAGTAACAAGACGTACAGCTGCTCCCTCCCTCCCTTCCTCCCTCGCTCCCCCCTGAACGCCTCATCCTCCGCTCTTCTCGCGATAGAGCGGCGGAGCGGTTTGACAGGCAGTCGAGGTTGCAGCAGGCAGAGGGAGACGGTGGAAGGTAAAGCAGGGAGGCAGCATCATGGCGGACAGAGACAGTGGCAGTGACCACGGCGGGCCCACGGCAGGCCCCGGCACGCTGCCCCCGGGCGCGATGGGCGTCATGTCCCGGCTCCAGCACGACACCGAGGAACTCGCCTCCAAACGCGTCGACATCCAGAACAAACGCTTCTACCTTGACGTGAAGCAGAATGTGAAAGGCCGCTTCCTAAAGATAGCCGAGGTCGGGGCTGGAGGAAACAAGAGCCGCCTGACTCTCTCCATGTCCGTGGCCGTGGAGTTCCGTGACTATCTCGGGGACTTTATCGAACATTACGCCCAGCTGGGCCCGAGCAACCCGGACATGGTGCAGGATGAGCCCCGGCGGGCGCTGAAGAGCGAATTCCTGGTGCGGGAGAATCGGAAATATTACATGGATCTGAAGGAAAACCAGAGGGGGCGGTTCCTGAGGATCCGACAGACCGTTAATCGGGGGCCCGGTCTGGGGAGCACACAAGGCCAGACCATCGCTCTGCCGGCTCAGGGTCTCATCGAGTTCCGTGACGCTTTAGCCAAACTCATCGATGACTACGGCGTGGACGAAGAGCCGGCGGAGCTGCCGGAAGGCACGTCGCTCACCGTCGACAACAAGCGCTTCTTCTTCGACGTAGGCTCCAACAAGTACGGAGTCTTCATGCGGGTCAGCGAAGTCAAGCCCACGTACCGAAACTCCATCACGGTTCCGTGCAAAGTGTGGTCCAAATTCGGCAACACCTTCTGTAAATACGCGGAGGAGATGAGGAAGATCCAGGAGAGGAGTAGAGAGAAGCGGGCCTCCGAACTGCTACCTGAGGGCCCGCACGGAGGAGACGACGGCGACGACGACTGACGTGGATTTTTTTTTTTTTTTTTTTTTTTTGTTGGTTGGGTTGGGAGAGCCGCATATGAGACACTTTTAACTGTAAAATAGAAAGAATTTCCCAAGGGAATCACCCCACACACACAACCTTCACAGCCGTAGCAGAGCCTCTGCTATCTCCTCGCTCATTTTACTGGATGACACCCCACTTACCACCATGTAACAGTAAGCCGCTGCTATCAAGGATGGAACTGTAAGATATGAACTGTTTCCTACTTGATTTAAATGACAATGAACAGAGTGTTTATATCTCTATCAATGACAGATTTTGCACACATCAAAGTTATTTCAAAAAGGAAAAAACAATGTTTAAATGTTTTAAAAATGGTAAATATGCTTAAAAAAAGGAAAAAAAGTTTAAAATTTAATCTAAAATTTAAAAAAACCAGAGTTCTATTATATTAAAACATCAAACGTCTTCATGTAGAACAAATATTTGACATCAGCACAAAGATTATATTATAAACTTTATGAAACCAAAATCAGATATCTGATGTATAGTTTATTATAATGGTACGCATAATAAATATGGAAGTGCTCTCTCTAAGTGTGTGAATCGCAAAAAACGCACTGCAGGCCTGTAACCACCTGTCAGCATGCCTGTAGGCTCGTGTTTGGAAGAGAAGTTTGGCAAAGTAGGCTGTAGTCTATAATCTGACCCGAGACTCGTTTGCTAATTAATCTTGATCATGATGCCATTAAGGAACGGTTGGGACACTTTCACGGTCTGTTTTGTCCACTTTAAAACCAACGTGACGAAATCGATCTGAGCTACTATGTCGAGTTTCAGCCCTCCTGCACCACGTCCATGTAAACGTTAAGGAAAAAAGTGCTAACTTAGATGTACTAATTATGATTTTGTGAATCAGCTGTAAAAAGAATCCTTATTAAGACGCCCACGTTTTCTGTGGGTTAACTTTTTNGGTAGGGGGGTGGGAGGGTTGCAAAAGGGTAAGGTCCACTTGTTGGGATCCCAAGGCGCAAAAACAAAAAGAGCGAGAGAGGCGAAAAAGCGCAGCGAGGCAAAGCATCCTCTCTGACGTCATTATGACCCGTGCCTTATACACTCCACTCGTTTACGTGTTCTCACGTGGATGGTCTGTGACCTCGACCGCTGTACGTCTTCATTTACGAGTGCTGTAATGTGGCAGAATATATAATAAGTGTACACACCGACGCACCCACCCACCAGGGGGCCTGAGGGATTTACTCCCCTGCAGTGCACGGAGCGTGGGTGATGACACCAAACGTACGGCGAGAAGCCCCTGGTGGCCAGAAACAGAGACAAAGATCGGCCCCTGAATCCCTAGGGCCACCCCTGGCTCAGACCTGCAGACCGTACGGCCTGAGGTGGCGCCGGTCGTCTTTACGTCCGGCCACGTATCTAAAGATGTTTGAGCCGTGGTCGGCCAGAGTGAAATCAGGTTGATATTGATGGTTGTTGTTGCTGATGTTGTTGTTCAAAGGTCCAGGGCCACCAGCCAATCCCAGCCCCACAGTCTGAGTGCAGTCAAGTGTATGTAGAGGCCTAACAGAGTAGGGTCCAGGCAGTATCTATCTCTTCTGGTGCTACAGCCCCTTGATTGCTCCTTGAGAGCATCACCACGTCTAAATACGTCACTGTCCGCATCCTTCATGACGTCCACACTGTGTCTGGTTTCTCCTCCCAGGCCGAGCAGAAGCCACTGACCAGTGGAGGACTTTTCATCTCAATGTGCAATATTGTGTACGTGCCAGTGGGGGCATCGTACCACATGTATAGACTCATAAAAGACAAAAAAAAACAAAAAAAAAACAAAACCATTTAGGCTATATGAGCAGTAGATATTGAGCGCATGGCGACGAGGTCGATGCATCTGCATATATTTCCCAAATGTGACGTTTTTTCCCCTTCTCTGGCGAGCGCTCCGATGAAAAAAAAAAAAAAACTCTAGTTGTGAGGTACTTTTCTTGTCACGTTGTGTAAAGCAGTAGCTGCCTCGTCTGTTTCTCAGTGCGTAAACATAGTTTTGGGTGTTTTTTTAATATATTCCGCATCAGAATCATCCCAGACCAAACGGTTGCCACAGTGAGTCCACACTCGTTAACTGTCTCCATGTCAGCCTGTCTGCAGTGCCCCCCCTCCCAGACCCAGGACATTGGACAGTTGGTTTCAGGGGTAGCTGACGCTCACACACATTCAAATCAGCCCCCCCCTCCCTCCCCCTCCCCCTGTTTTGGCCTCTTGTTCCTATCTGGGTGTTTGAGAGGCCTCTTAAATATTTTGAATGGTGTCTAGAACCACACAGGGCCTCCGATCATGAACAGCCAGGAAACTGTGAGTTCGGAGCCTCCCTCCCTCTCTCTCTCTGTCTCTCTGTCTCTCTCTTTCACCTGGAACTGCCAATCACAGGACAGGTGAAACACAACAAGACCTGCATAACCAGGCAGATTACAGAGGAGACTGAAGGATGTGTATTTACAACAGGTATTATAATCCCCTCTCTGATGTGGACACGCTGATCTCAGCATCGCTTCCTGGGATTCAGTGTGGACTCTGGCTCGAGTCCCGACTCCCAAACACAGGCCGCCACTTCCTTTAGGCCTGAGTGACCTCTAGGTTTACATCGCAGTCCCCAACTCACATTAACCGTGCTTGATGTGGTTAGATAATCTGCAGGCTTTACTCAGATCAAGCTGTTATATATATATATATTTATATATGTGACAGAGGATGGTGGGAACGGCAGCGTCAGCAGAAAAGTTGTTGTTGATGCAGTCGTAGTCCAGGTCTGAGTGACAGGAGGAATAACAGCAGTCTGACAGAGGCAGAGCTGACGTTTGTTTGAAAGGTGTCTCACACCAAACTGAACTTCTCCTCCGAGGAGCTCCAGGTCGGAGCCGTGCTTGATCTGTGCTCGTTTGCTCATGCCTGTGGCAGTGGGGCCAAGACAAATGTGCCAGAAAATCCCATCTGTTCTACGCAGGACTTTTTGGCCCAGGTTTGTCTGTGAGTGTTGGTGAAAGGCCTGAAGAAGCCTGGCACTGCACTGATGGAGCTTAGAAACAGAGTTCTGCCGCGACCTTATTGACCCCGGTCAGACAGGCCCGGCCTGGAACTTTTCTCTCTGCTTTGGAGAAGAACAGAAACTTTCTTTCTCCCCTTTCACCACGATTATATTTCGCCCCCGCTGTTCTGTGAATAATGAAAAAGCCCATCTCCAAAAAACAAACCTCCGAGGCCCCCTAAGACTGTGAGAGGTCAAAGACACCAGAGGTCAAAGACACCAGAGGTCAAAGACACCAGAGGTCAACATGAGGTCACCACAGGTCTGGACGACCGTATGTGACATCAGTGCTTCTAAAAACAACCCAAACTTTTACTCGTCTCTCCAAATACCTTCAGTATTTATTCATGTACATGTTGGTGAAATATCACACAGTATAATGTAGTAGTAGTACTACTACTACCTGGTACTTTAACTCAATTCAATTCAAAGTTTTTTTTAACAACAACAAAGTCACTCTCCAACACCCTGATGCAAACAGACAGGAATCCCCTGTGTTCCACTAGAGGGAGCACAGGTACCACCAACGGTACAGCTGCCATAGTTTGAGAATCACCACTACATTATTCTTGAAAAAAACTGATTTGGCCACAACAGCCAGATTTATAAAACAGTGAAACTCCTACTTCCTGTGGACTGAAATCTCCAGGTGCTAATGAGTTCTTTGTGCTTTTACTGCAAAAAAAAAAAAAAAGTGACTCTCCTGTTTTATGTCACTCCAAAACTGTTGGACCAACACCAACCTTAGCCATATTGTCCCCACATCTTCCTCTGGTTCTGGGGCTCAAAGACAAAACTTTAGGAGATTTTATTTTTGTTCCTTTCTTCCTAGTTTTCCAGAGGTGGCGCTCTGGTCGTGTTGAGGTGATTGGTCCAGACGACAGGGACAGGAATGACATTCAGAGTGATCTTCTTTGTGGCAGTTCTTCATCAAGGTGGTCATTGTTTTTATTTTGTTTGTTTTTTTTTTCTAAAGGTTTTTGTCTACCACACTGTCATTGGGTGATTTGTATATTTTTGTTGCTCGGTCGCTGTCATGTGACCTCATCATCTCCGAAACCTGGAAGTGGACAAACTGAAGCGTAGAGCTGATCTATAGAAATAGCTGCTTCTCTTCCCCCCCACCCCCCACCCCCACACTGTTGCATGTGTTCGGTGTCAGAGCGCTCTGATGGCTCCAGCTGTGGGTGCTTTGTCTGCTCGTTCCTTCTGTCCTGTAGGGGGTGCGATTCCTGTTTCTGAGCGCTTTTACAGAAACAGGCCTATAAACAGCAAACCTCCACAAACCAAGTGTGTGTGTGGGGGGGCAGGGGGTGCCAGCGTGGGTCGGGGGGGGTGTGACCCGCCTCTGCTAAACTGTGTACAGGTATTAACTCAACTTCCATCCAGAAGAGTCTCCGACACCCGAACCTGCTCTCGTTCTGGTTTCAGTGTTGCAGTCCTTCATTGGCCGCTCACAGTCCTTGGTTACTTACTCAGCCAATCACAGCCTTCGCTCAAAGTCAAGCACTATATGACTCATCACAAACCACTGACAGAGGAGCTCATTCAGCTCGACCCTGTGTTTGCACATGCGCCCAGTTCTGGGGGTCCGTCCCGTCCGTAGACCACGTAGGCCACTGTCCAGTTACGGAGGCGTTCTTTTAGATGTTCTGAGGATGATGGGAAATCAGTCCCTGGATTTTAAGGCGTGGGGTCAATGCACAATGAACATATCTCATGTCACAATTTGTTCTAACCCCCCCTGCCCCCCCGCTCCCCCTCCCCTTGACTCTCTTCACCATTCCCACATGAGAAAACATGTTGTATCTTTCAAAACTATTTTATCTGTGGTGTGTGTGAGTGTGTGTGCGTGTGTGTGTGTTATATATGATGCTCCTCCTTTCAGAAAATATAACGTAACAGGAAAAACATATTGCTGTTTTTTTTTTCCTTTGTATTTTATACTTACAGAAAGCATTGAATAAATGGATAAATACTTGCACTTTAGATATATTAAGAAGAGTAAAATCTGCATATTATTTTTGATAGGGATCTCACATTCAAAGAGTATAAATTACAGGCTTTGTGACTATTGCTGGACAGAGATGTATTGAGTTCTACTTATTGAAGTATATTTTGTCTGTGTGTCAGAAGGTTTACTAAAGTAAATTGCATGATAAATAGTGCTACACGATATTGTTCTTTTTTTTTTAGTTGGTGAAAAATGTCTGAAAACTGTGATAACACCCCCGCCCCTCTTTTCCCCCCCTGCCCCTGTATCATGTTTAACCTGCCCTCACCCCCTCCTCCTAGACGATTTCTTACCTAAATATGGCCTTTCCTGACCACATGACGATGGTGCTTACTTTGGCTTTGACATCCAGCTCGTCCTGAACATCTCCACTCCGTCATAACTCTTGTCCTCATTTTCATTTCTTTCTGTTATGTACTTTTGCAACCTTAATAAATTTCTGTTGATGGCAAAAAAAAAAACCCAAAATGTCTTTTTCCCTTAATTTTCTGTTTCGATTAATTGATGAATCCTGACTCTCAGACTGGAACTTGAGTCACGCAAAAACTCCAGACAGGTGAGAGATTCGCCCTCAAAGCTCTCGTAAACAATTTCTAATTTTATTAACCTTCTTTCTAATCTTTATTTCATTAATATTATACAGTTTTTTTTATCATGGTTCTATTAGTGGACGACTGGAGATAATTCCCTGCGTTGATAACAACACTGACCTTAGGGATGTGGGGAGAGGGGGCGGGTACAGTACTTCATTATTTTATATTTACATTTATACATTTAGCAGTCGCTTTTATCCAAAGCAACTTACAGAAGATTATTAACATCATCAAGCATGTGGTTCTTTAGGGAATCGAACCCAGGACTCTCTGCCTTCTGCTTCCGAGGCAGGCGTGCTAACTGTTACACTATGGAACCATATTTTAAATACCTTACAAAGCTATTTATTTTAATATTTAATTTATGTGGAAACATAAATCAGTATTATAATCATTATTAGTTACAGTACATACAATACTGAGCTGTTTAATTAATGACTCGATATTTGAAATCAGTATTATAATCATTATTAGTTAATCAATGACTCAATGATTATGGAAATAATTATTCAAATTATATAATTTTTAAGCACAATTTTAATTAGACTTGACTTAAATAAACTGTATTAAAAAAATTGTCTAATGACACAAAAATATCTCGACCATCCAGCAGTACTTCCATGAACCTCTAACAGTTTGCAGACCTCCTATTGAAGACCTACATGATGTTAAATAACTGCATTAAAGAAGTAAAAATAACTACATTTAAATGATAAAAAAAAGTAATTTTCTTACCTGTCATTCATGGATGAAGTTCATGACTGAAGTCCATGAGTAATAATCCAAACAAATTCCAAAGTAATTCAGAAAATGAGACTTTGTTGCCTGTTATTTTGGTTCAACATTTACAACTTTTTGTTTTACTTTGTTTCCTCTACTTGTGTATTTAGAAACGTTAACTTTTAATCTTTCAAATTTAATAACATTTCAAATGAAGAAAACGTTTTTTAAACACCAGGTACTGAACTGTTTGGCAGTTGATGTAGAAAGAAGGTTAGCCTGGCAGCTACACCTGCTAGCATCCCAGAATGCAACTCTCTTAAAGGTACAGTGTAATCCAGTCGTGAAGTTAAACTGATGTTGAAAACGTTATACCTACTTTATTTTAAATACTTTTTAAATAACTAACAATAGGTAAATAGTGACCTTTTCTTTTTTTTATGTGTTTAAACAACAACTTTGAAGAATGTGAACCTTATTCAAAACTAGAGTCTGAATGAGACACAGACACAGCAGTCAGTATAAAAGCTTACTTTATGAAGCACAGACTAAATATTCAGTAAATATGTACTTTACAGAGTATGTGTGTCCTGTCAAAAACTGTTCAGATATACAAACAAAACCAACAGGAAACCGATGCTGACATCAAAGTGCCGTAGTTCAGGTTCAGGTTGTTTTTTCTGTTTTTTTTTTTTTTTGTTTGTTTGTTTTAAATAAAACAATCAACAAATAGATTTGGACTCCGCCCTGGTGGACAGCACTGGTCTAGCCTAGCACGTAAGGAAACTACAGTTAGGTTCCAGGACGCGGGGACGAGCGGGATACGAGAGTATCTCCACGTGAAAAGCAGTTTCCATTTATCCATATGTTAGAAAAAAGAAAAAGAAAAAAAGCTACTGGTTCACACTGTTCCAGTTCAGCATCTGGGTCTGTACAAGGATCCAGTTTCAGGATTCCAGCTGTGATTCCAGGATTCCAGCCAGAATATTAGATACCATCAGTCACTATTAATGTGATCTACAAGCGACAGACAGACTACGGCTCCAGTTAGCTTCTGTGTGCTAAGCTAACTGAACTCAACAGTTGTGTCATAAACAAATGATGTCAACACATGAAGTGTGTGTGTATGTGTGTGTCAGTGTACTGCAGCTGGGTCAGGATCAGTTAAGGTGCTCACAAACAGCAGTACCACCAACCCACCACTAGTCCCTCAGACATCCAGGTGAGGCCGTCGTTGCTGTCGTTTTCCTGCAGCTCGTCCCGTTCGCCTCAGCTAGGTGGCGTTGTTTCACTGTCTTTTCCAACACACTGATAGTTTTCTTTCCCAGCTTTAACATCAAATGTAAAAAAAACAAAAACAACAACAAAAGTCTGAGCAGACCTGCTGCTGAAACACTGACTCTCCGACCTCTGTCTGGGGGAAAAAAAACACCAAACTTCTCCATGTGAAGGAGTTGGTGGAATCAACATCAATCAATCAATCAATCGATCAATAACTCCACCATAGACGGTGAGACGTTGTAGATGGTGGAGTAGGAAATGTTGTCGTTGGAGTTAGTGGCAGTTTTATTCGTGACCCTGTTAAGTTTATCTCTGAGGACAAATGTAATACCAGCAACCCCCCCACACAACCATGAAAAACCCCTCCCACTAAAAGAACAACTTCATTGGTCCTGTAAAGGGGAATTTAACACTGACTTACTAACATGCTGAGCTTACATTATAATTCACATCAATTCAGTGGTTCTCAAACTGTGGTGCCCACACCAATGGTGGTACATGGAGAATCTGTTTTGTTTTGAGGATTTTTTTACTTGAATTGGTAACAGTGTGAGTGACCTAGTATGAAGTGGAAAGTTTAAAAATACTGCAGTTCTATTTCCAAACTGTAACTTCTCAAAAAGAGAAGTGAAGATCAGAGAGAACAGAACAGCTGACATATGATCTGTGTGTGTGTGTGTGTGTGTTTGGTCTTCAGAGTTTTACTGAAGTATCAGTTTTAGTTCTACTTTACTGTACACTGTATCGTCATGTGACGACTGGTCTAATAACCGTGTTACTGTAGTAGAAACTTCTCTTCTTCTGGTCCGTGCTGCTGTACTGGACCATCAGTCTGACTGTACTGGAACATCAGTCAGACTGTCCTGGACCATCAGTCAGACTGTCCTGGACCATCAGTCAGACCGTACTGGACCATCAGTCTGACTGTACTGGAACATCAGTCAGACTGTCCTGGACCATCAGTCATACTGTACTGGACCATCAGTCATACTGTACTGGACCATCAGTCAGACTGGCCTCCAGGTTTATCTACTGTGGATCTTCTGTGGAAAAAGGCGTCCAGTGAACGCCGGTCCAAAACGACAAACTTAAAACTGTCAAAGACCTTACAACAGTGTTAGGAAAAGGAAGGTGTGTGGTCTTTATATATAAAATATATATTTATATATATATATATTTTAGGGCTGTTGAAATGAATGCATTTTTATTTGAAGATGAATCTGATTGAAATCCTTAACGTATTTTAAGCATGGCTAGAGTTAAAGTTGTGGTCAATAGCTGTGTATATATTTATATACGGAGGAACGTGTCCCAGCAGGCCAAGGACCTAATACAAGGTAAGGGACTGTGTTTGCTTGGCACCGAAAGATATGTTTAGATGTATGTATGTATGTATGTATAAATACATATATATTTATATATATTCACATACAAATATATGTAAATATATATACACATATATATAAGCATATAAATGGCTGGAACTCACTTTTTCCACAGAAGTCCACCTCATGTGGAGAAAAAGTCTATTTTGAACTTGTGAATTAATTCCATGTTTTTTTAGCCAAATTTCTAAAACGTAGGTTTTCATGAAGTTTGTAAACACGTTGGAAATGATGTGTTCAAATTCCCCTTTATATATATATAAAAAAAACATCTAGAACTTCAGACAGCTCCCTCAGGAACCTCTCTAACCTCAGCCACACGTCTCTGTTCTCCTTCATTTCCAACATCACACTGAGCCACAGGTTGGACATCAGGTCCACCGGCGGAAAACACTGAATACAGGACAAAGGTCAAAGGTCACAGCAGCCGACCTTCAACCTGTCACTTTCTAACCCTGGACACCTGACCTGACGTGGAGGCGCTCTGGGTTAAGGCACGCACCCTCTCCGGTTCCTCTGCCGGAACCGATTGTCAACAGTGGAAACCACAGCTGCGAGTGTCTCAATGTCAAAAAAAAAAAAAAAATGTCCGTCCACGTGAACATTTCCGACCTGGGATGGAATCAGAACAATTAAATAAATAAATAAATATTTTATACACGGAGAACGTTCGATCCTTCACCCAGTCTTTAAAGTGAGTCTGTTGAAGACACGCAAAGGCCAAAATGCTACAGTAGTACCTTCTTCACCGAGTCCGTCTCAGTCTCAGAGGGACAGAGGATAACCTGTCCATGTCCGTGTTCGTCCTCTTTGCTCTCATGACTCAACCGCAAAAAAACAACAAAAAAAAAACAAGCTTCAGCATGAAGGAGATTTCTAGAACAATACTGACGGAGGCGGAGATCACAGTTAGGATCATCTGGATGTGCAATTAATAAACAAAAAGAAAAAAAAGAAAAGACGGTCCAAGACGTGAGGTTTCTTCTTCTTCTTCTGATGCTGAAAGGTAGAAACGTCTCACCAGGTCTGACTGATTCAGGATCAGTGACTGATTCAGGATCAGTGACTGATTCAGGATCAGGGACTGATTCAGGATCAGTGATCAGATTCCGTGAGTGCAAACAGAGGTATGAAGGAGCCCAGAACTCAAAGCCGGCGTCCAACGCTTTGAGCAGCCGCAGGACGACGCTCGTCTGTCTGGGAGGTTGTCTTCAGCTCCGCTGAGCCGCCGTACTGCAGTCAGGTGACCTCCCGTTGGCTCCACTGTGAGCCTGGCTAATGGACGGGGACGACTGGGTCTTCCGGAGAAGGCACTCACGTCCGGCCAGGCTCCTGTCCTTGATGAGGCCCCCCATCACGCTGGCCTCAATCTTTTCAAGGTCGTCCGTCTCGGCCAGGATTTTAGCCTGGAGGAGGCTGATGTAGGTCTCGTATCGTGTCTTCTGCTCAGGAAAAAAGGACGGAGGAGGGAGAAGGATGAAGGAAGAAGGAACCAGTGACTTTATTAATGTCCTTTAAAAATGTATGACACACATAAACATATATTTTTATATATATGTATATATATATGTGTCTGTGAAACCGAGAAGCTCGTACCTCGTAGGTCAGGTAGTGCTCTTTGAGCCTGTACTCCTCCCACTCTCGGCTTTTGGGGTCCACAGCGGGGGGGTTCATCCTGTGCTCCTCCAGCTCCAGACTCATCTGCTTCAACTTACTCTCGTGACTCCGCAGCTGCTCCTCCTGCACCAATCACAGCGCAGAGAGTAGAAGGAAATTAGGAGACACTCAAAGTGGAAAAGAAATATATATATGTTCAATATATGTATATACAGAGAGAGGGAGGGAGGGAGAGGGCAGTGTTGTGTTACCTGCTTGAGTCTGGTGGATGAAGAAGGCAGGATGGGGCGACAGAATTTTTTCATGGAGCCGATGGCGGCAGGAAAGGCTGGAGCTGAGAACAGCGCCGCCACCAGGTTTATCCGAAAGATCCAGGACATCATCTCCTCCTCACTCCTGAAGAGAAGGAGTAGGTGGAGGAGAGGGAAGCGGCAGGATTATTTCATGACGGTTTTTATTGTTTATGGATTATGTATAAAACGTCTGAAGTCTCAACGTTCTGCCTCCGGTGACTCCTACTCACGGGGCCTGCAGCAGAAACACTCTCCAGTCGGATGTTTTCAGCTTCAGGACGTTGGCTCTCTTGCTGTAGTCGGTGGCACGAGTGGCTAAAGCGTGGTGGATTCGTACTGCGTTTTTCAGGTCCACCTCTGAAATGTCAGCATCGGGTTTGTACTCATCCTACGTAAGAAAAAAAAAGTCGGGTTTAAATAACAAGCATGTCTGTCTTTGTACTTTATTCTGTTAAAAAAAATTTAAATTAGTTGTAATTATTTTCTGTTTAACTTTATTTTTAGTGCGAATGTGAAAAAAAAAAGTTCAAACTGTTAAGACTTCCTTCCAGCAGAGGGAGACAGAAACACACTACAGCAGTGTTCCATCTCTTTATCTCACGCAGCTGAGCAGCTTACAGCGCCGCTGCAGCTGCAGTGGTGGGTTTGTGTTTCTATGGTAACGGAGCAGAGGATGCGGTGCAGTACCTTCTGGAGATACAAGATCATCCCCTTCAGAACCGCGTAGAACTTCTTCCAACCACGCCGACCCCTGGGTGCTGGGAGAGAGGACAGAGGCGTCGTTTAAAATAAAATGTTATGCAAATGTACAAAAGGGATGAAATTAGTTCAACCATCGGTGTATGTGTGTGTGTGTGTGTGTGTCTCACTGCGTTTGCCGTCCATATCTGCGTGGCTCTTGCGGGTCAGCACTCCGTGTTTGTAGGTGACGGCGTTCAGCAAAATGGGAATGGCGATGAAAGGGTTACTGCTGTCTGTTACCCTGGCAACACGTTTGGCCCCGCTCTCACACTGCTCCTCCACCAGCTCTGACAAGCTCTTCCTCAGCTCCTCCTCCTCACTGCAGACACACAAACACTGAGTGTCAACCTGAGCAGCGCATGTTCAAGGGCACAGACGTCTGCAAACCCCCCAAAAATACTCACACGGCCCACTCCAGCTTCTCGTTCTTGATGGAGTTGTACAAAATCTGGGCAAGGAAATCCACAGAAACACGTTGGCGTGAATATATGAGACGACGAATGTTGCTCTGCAGCAGAGAGAGAGAGAGAGAGTGTGTCGCGGCCTGTACCTTTAATAGATCCTTGGGGAAGTCTTCGCCGTTGTTGAGGCCGTCCAGATTACTGATGAACTGTTGGCACGACATCTTCTTACCAATGTTCTGGGGGGGGGCAGAACACAGAGAGGTCATGAATAAACAGACAGTGAGTCGGGGGTCAAAGTGAGTTCACCTGGTATCAGTGTTTGTCCAATAACGTCTGTGATTTAAAATCATTTCATCAGAGTTGTGATCATTCTTTAACAACAATGATTATTAGATTATAAGTTTAAAAATGTATTTATTTCGGTTTAAATTCTGGTTCGTTTGTTCCTTAATTAACGCTAACTATAGTAAATAAAAATGTTTTCAAGGCCGTCATTATGTTAAAGGCTGATTCTCACAAACATTTCTATAACATTCATTCTCATGGACCGATTAGTTGATTCTAATTTCTCGGTGACGGTTAATCGCAGTAACACTGCTGATGGTTCTGTTCAGTTCAGTTTTTGCCCCAACTAGCAGTTCAGCAGACATCCACAGGATGGCGGTGTTGTGCTGCGCATCTCTGGTGGTAGACCTCACTGCCAAATTTGCACGTTTATACAGTATCTTATCTTTTTTGGTTTATTATACTGTATTTTCTGCATATTTTATTAGACCTGGTTGAAACTCCGGCTTCTCCTAAAAATATATATTTTTAACCCTTATTGAAGTAACAGGTTTGTACATATTTGTTCATTTTATACATACATACTTAAATATATGGATGTATTAATTGTCATGCAGTTGCAATTCATTGTTTTATATATATATATATATACATTATAGTCAGTGAATTAAAAAGTTCACCACCCCTCCTGCGTTACCTCTTTTGACCCTCTAGGGGCAGCATATCTCTACTGAAGACAATTACTTTATGGGTCAGGGTTGGAGGAAATGTTTGGTCCAACCTTAACTATGACGTCTACATCCAAAATTTGTGATTTTTTTTTTTTTTTGTCATGCTACAGTATTTCTGCACCGTCAGCGTCGGTGTGGTGATGACACTTACCACCTGCAGGGGCGCCAGACACAGACCAGGGAACCAGAGGAGGTAAGCAGGAGGAGGATGTGGAAAAGGGGGAGAAACGGAAATGGGAGAGAAGAGGGAGAGGGGGAGACAGGATATTAGTGGGAGGAAGGATTCTCTCTCTACCAGTAGCGCAGCAGAGACACTGGGTGGAGCTGAGGAGCAGGGTTAAAGGAGCGCTGAGGAGCAGGACCTACGATGATGAAGAGCGCTACGCTGCCTGGACCACAGCGCTCCAGATAAAACAGTGAAGAGACGGGACTATTTCAGGAGAGACGAGACAGAAGCAGGTCAGAAAGTAGGCCGTGGGGGGAGAAAGAGAGAGAGAGGGGGAGAGAGAGGGAGGAGGCCACGAACATGAAAGAAGTTTAAGAAAAATGGAGCATGTGAACAGAGACGGTCCTCGTCCTCAGACGGTGACGGAGCAGAGGACGGAGAGTCAGCTGAGTCAGCGAGTTCAGGAACTTTAATACGTACGTGTCCGTGAAGATCAGTGTTGAGCAGCATGAGAGCACAGGTCAACGTGTGGGCTCCATCTGCAGAGACGGAGCACAGGGCCGGGGTCAAGGAAAGGTCACACACATACACACAGAGAGGAAGTTGAAAAGTCAGGCATTCCTTCATGGTAACTGCAGAGACCTGGTCACATGACCAGAGCTGCAGTAAACGCCAGCGTCTTCACTGAGCATGTGAAGATGCTGAGAACACACCGGAACAACAACTGTGCATTGATGACGTCATCGCCCCCTGTTGACTGACTCTTGACACTTGTTTATCTATTAAAATCCCTTTCCTCCGAACAGTCTCTCTGTCTGTTGTTTATCATTAACACATTTATTTTTATACAAATTTCGTTTCTATTTTTGTTTATCATTAACACATTTATTTTTAGACAAATTTCGTTTCTATTTTTCTGCAGAAAAAACTAAAAAAAAAATAGTGTGAAAAAGACTGAGTCAAAAGGTTTCTGCAGTAAAAACTAAAAAAAAAAAAAGTGTGAAAAAGACAGAGTCAAAAACTTCTCAGACCAAATGTCACTGTGTCGGTTTCTGGAGTTCAGGACAGGAACCAGTTCAGACTGGTTTGATCATCATCATCTTTGTCAAGCTGCGTGACCTCTGGTTTGACCTTTGCTAGGTTTAAAAATATAAAATAACTTTTAGCCCAATTTCAAAAAGTTGCAAAGGTGGCAGATGGCGCATATAAACAGTGACAAAAACTACTACTACACCACTACTGTAAATACTGAACATAATAATAATAATTAACAAATCGTTAGTAACTCTTTTATCGTTATCATCACTGCAAAAGTCAGCAGAGGCGACTGCTTAGGGTTGAGTTTTTTTTATTACCCATGATGCCACAGCTCTGACCTTCAACGGTGGGGGTCTGTGGGTTGCAGTGACAGTAGCGTTTGGAGAAGTGGACCAGGACTCTCTCTCTCTCCTGGGTCTCCCCCATCAGTGGGAACGCCTTCAGGAAGTTTCTGACACACACACACAGAAAAATACACAAAAATATTTATATATATTTATATATGTTTATGTATGTATATATGTATTTTAAATATATATAAAAACATAAATAAAACATAATATATTTATTATTTTTTATTATTAATATTATTATATACTTATACATAATATAATATTTATATATAACATGTAAATATATATTTTTATATATGTATAAATATATGTATATTTCACTTGACAACAGTTCCTGTAATGAACTGCGACAGACGACGGACCAGCCCTGAACCTCACACCTCACTTTAACAACCACTGCACCAACATGTAACATGTCAGCTAATTCACTCTGCGGCTCTGCAGCTAATTATCCTCGCCGCGGCGGCTTCATTAGCGCAGGCTAACGCCCTGTGAGTCAGGAACGTGCACAGATGTTCCACATCACGAGGTCAGATTACTGAGCGCTGACTGTGCGTTACCTTAGGGCTCGGTCCAATGACAGGCCGGAGAAGTCAAAGAAGCTCAGGTACTCTGACGCCACCAACTGGCTGAAGTCATTGCTGCAGAGAGGACACAGGGAGAGAAAAAAAAAACTCTCAAGATAAAAACATTTTACATGAGCTTAGCGATCTTTTTTTTTTTTTTCTTGGACAACAGGGTGGCAGCAGTGCCCAAAATAGGGGGCAGGCCACCCTGGGGGACAGTGTTAAATTAATCATTTTATTTCCTTTGTTAAACGAGAATAAAAGTTTTTTGTTTTTTTTAAAGAGAATACAGTTTTAAATGAAGATTTTTTTTTCTTTTTTCAGTGGAGTTTTGAACGTGTGGTCATGTGATCGTCTATGGACAGTTTGAAGTCAGGTTTCTGTGCCCCCAGACTCACTTCTTGCCCAGGTGTCTGGCCACGTCACAGCGTTTGAAGCCCTCCAGGTGATAGAGGCGCTTGGCCAGTCTCTTGGCCGCCTCGCTGTCGGCTCTGCAGCCGTTGGCCAGGGTGTCGGTGCTGCCGCGCTCCAGACGCTCCGGACTGCCCAGATCACACTCCTCTGAGTCGGACGGGACGTCTGTGAGGCTGGCATCGCTGTCGGCACAAACAGACATGGACAGTGGGGTCAGTGGGGTCAATGGGGTCAATGGGGTCAGCAGCACCAGTCACTGCAAAACAGTGTTTCGCAAAATGTGGCTGCAGCACAGACAGACACAGACATCTCCCATCGCTCAGCTCCGTCTGTCTTTCTGTGTCTACAGAGACATGATCATCAACTGGTGGCCCACGGGCCCAACCCGGCGCACTGAACAGTCTAATCTGGCCTGCGACTGGATTCCAAAATAAACATAAAATAATAAAAAAGTTGACGGGAAAAAAAATCAGATTTTTATTTCATTTTAATTTGAGCCACTAATGGATTAAAATCTCATTTTAATTCTGACAAATACAGTTGTGACGCCCCCCCCCCGCCTCCACAGTGACCCCTGCTGTAAAAAGGACAAACCTTCAAACTGAAAGCTGTGACATAATTCAGGGAGTAACTGAATTCTACAGAATCAACACGACTGACACAAAGGTGAAAGATAAAACATGTCGTCATGATTCAGAAAAACACACACACACACACACACACACACACACACACACACACACACACACTGACCAGCCCGGAGTCAGACAGAGTTCAACAGTAGAGGGCGATAATAACGTGGACCACAGACAGTCCTGGAGTCCAGCACCAGGTCCAGGTTTTTCTAATCCTAACGACCACTTGGGGCGCTATACTTGCCAACAGCAGGGCAGCACATGAACAAGCAGGTTGGGAATCAAACCCACAACCCTCTGGATATAAGCAGTGTTTTGACCACAAAAACAAAGAATAAAAGTAATAATAATAAACAGTATTTTGAACGATTTTGTCATCGTTCCCAATTTAAATAAATCAGTTAAATCTTCATTAATCGCGTCACATTATCAAAGAATTGTTAACAAAAGTTAAAAAAAAGTATCTAAGTATCAGTGTCTAATTTTATGCCGATGACATCTCTATATTCACTGACACACGCGCCATGATTTCCTGTCATATTTCAGAGGAAAGTGAATAATTAGTCACTTCCATTAGTCTGATTCCATTTCCTCTTTTTCCTCCTAAGTGAACATCTGCCTCGCCTCATGATTCAGAGGTTTGTTTTTTTCTCTCTTTTTTTTTTTTTTTTTACATAATCTGATGAAGGCTACTGCATTACTCTCACAAATCGAATACATTACAGCGCTGTTGTTGTTACGGTTTATGTTTCCATGGAGATGACGGAGAAGTGTCCTGTGATTCAAAAGGGAAAAAATGACTGTAGACAAGAACGCAAAAAAAAAAAAATTCAAATTAAAAACAAAGTTTCAAATACACAAAACAGAGAAACTAGAAGTTTCCATAGAGAATAACGGGTTTCTTCTCCAGCTGACCTCGTCCTCCTGCTCTACACACCGTTCTTTTTTTTCTTCTGTTTACTTTTCCTGGGGCGCCTGACCTTGGAACTATTGGCTCCATGAGACCCTGCAGAGCATGGTCTCCCCCCCCCCAAAAAAAAAAACACAGTCACAGAGGTCACCGATTGACCCCTGCACTGCAACAAAGAGTTCCGAGGAACCTCTCGCAGCAGCCAGGAATGAGAAGTGTAACGAGGCTCATCCTCAGGGACGGGGCGGGGACTGGTTCTGGTACTGTATATCCGGAAGAAATTAAAATCTGTATTTTAGTCTGGAAATTAGGTCCACTGGGACGGAGCAGATTCCAAACACCAACACTTCCTGTCAACTTCCTTCCAGATGTATTCTGGACATGTCCAGCAGGGGTCAGAACCCTGGATGGTCATAAAACACGCTCAAAGGACTGAGTTCTAAACCCAGACACATTTGCATAAATCAAACCACAAAGTTTGGCTGCGTAAAAAAAGGAAATCCATATTTGATGATTAAAAAAAAAAAAATCCCTCAGCGTCTCCTGCCTGTCTCGGTCTGCTCTCTTCTTCTGTGGTGTCTTCAACACCGGCTCCATGCAAATGTTTCTTGCCGTTTTCATTTAAAGTTAGTCAGAAACTTGGAACGTTTCGAAACGCTTCACTTTTTTTTTGTAAATTAAATAAAGCGATGATCAAATCAAAGGTGAAGCGTCTCGACACCTGAGGATCAAACCATCTGAACGGCTTTGAGGTCAACATCAGACACTGGCTGAGTTAAAATGATAACATCTGTCTGAGAACTTTGTGACTGCAGTTGACACCTGAGGACTACAATTATACAAACTATAAAAAATACTTAAAAGTTCAAGTCAGTACTGGGACTAAAATTGTGCTTAAAAAATACTTACTACTGCAAACACACACACACAAACACACACTGTCATGGCTGCCTGTGATCAAATAACTGCGGTAGAGGAACAACAGAGTACAGCAGGTATCTGCAGTACTGTAGTATGATCGTGCCAAAGTACCTCCTCGTGGACAATATGACAGTGCAGTACAGTACAAAGTATTTGTATTAAAGGGCAGTGAATGCGACCGCCGCTCTGTCTGCGTGAGTGTGTGTCAACGATGGCGAGCGTGATGGTGCACGCCACTGAGTCAGATGCTAATCTTCTCGGAGGTTTAACACCGCGTTACAGCTGCGAGGTGTGTCAACACTGTGTGTCTGTGTGTTTGTGTGTTTGTGTGTGCAGTGAAATAGGAGGAGGTGGAGGGAAGGACTGAATGTCATCATCCGGGCAGGTAACCAGTATTTATGGGATAAACAGATTCCGGTAATTCAATCATTCCGGATGTTTCTTTGATTTGTGTAAACGCTGTTCAGTATTTGACGGAAATGCTACAAAAACTAATAAAGACTGAGTAAAAAAAAGACGTGTGTGTATGTGGTGTCAGTGATCAGCTGAGGTTTGTGGACATTTACCACTAAATACTGCGGCGTCAGCCACTGCTGTGACGACTGAAACAAGTGTTAGTACTTCAGTAAAAAAAAAAAAAAAAAATCGTACCTGGTACGATGTTATTGTTTTTATCACATTCTGGAGGTTGAGCTGAAACAAGAACGGGAATTCTGGGAAGAACAGAAATATCCCGTACAAATACAGTAAAATATTGATACATTGAAACATCACGTTGTTTTGTCTCACGACACCGTATCAAACTCCTCAGTCATTGATCAGTTATTGATTTTTTTTAATCATTTTTCCCAGTCCAATATTCCAGGTGTTGGTTCATTTTCTTTTTCTTTTCTTTCTTCTCTAGTGATTCCAAATGTAGATCCCTCTGTTCCAGTGTTAGGAACTGATGTTCAGATGGAATATATATCGTATCGTTGCCCCATGTATCGGGATACGTATCGTATCGCCAGATACTTGCCAGTACACATCCTCAATAAGTACTTAAAACTGTACCTTTACATGATGAGATAAACAGAGAAACAGGTTTGTCTTTCACATATATATTACACTATATGCTGATGATATTCACCTGGATTCATCAGTGTTTAGAACTGGTTTGTTTTTTCATTTGTTTCCATAAACTTGGTTCTATTTTTGTCTGACCCTCCCTGAGGGTAATTAATAAAGTATTTTCTTTCTTCTGAAGACCCAGATATTTCTGTTCCACAAAAAAAAAAATACACATAAAGTAAAAATTTTACAGTAGCTGGTGGTCCAGGATGCAGTATATATACCATAAATATTACTACGAACTACTATCAGACAACATGTCATGATGATATGGTAACGATATTTTACATTTGTGACTAAACCTGAAGAGTTTTACAGACAGAAAAGTCAAGTAGAACAAAAAGAGAAAACACTACCGTTTTACACAGACTTTGATTTTTCTCTTTTTTTCTTTTTCTTTTTTTAGTAGCAGCAGTGTTTTGTTCGGGCTAAAGTTACGGCTCCCTCCCTCACTATTTCCATTTTGCCACGCAGCAGAACGTTAACGCTCCCTCCCATCTGGAAGATGAACCCCCAGACAGGCTGCGGTCCCCGGCTGGAGAAGTCAGACTTACAGGAGGTGCAGCAGAAAGTCGAAGTGAGCATCGTATTCGTCCTTCCACATCGTCTCTGAGATCCTGAACGGCAGCGGTGAAAGGCGGGCTCCACACCCACCGCCTCATCATCCAGCGGCGGCCGCGATCTTTTCACTCTTACTCCGCCTCGATACCGATGTAGCTCCGCTCACAGCGGAAGTCCGTTCATGGTGTAATTACAGCCCGGTCCCAGCGGGAAAGCCGTGGTTTTTGTTCCGCCAGTGTCGACACACAGAGACTTTTCTGAAGTTTGTTGGCAGAGAGACTCTCGGTGGGAGAGGGGCCGTCCAGGGGCGGAGCCACCGACGGGGCCTTCGTACACTGTTCCTGCTGGTGGCTTCACAATGGCCCAGTGTGTGCCGGCCAACAGCACTTCCTCTGCGTTAAAGGGATACTCCAGGATTTTTTTTTCCTTTTCTTTGAGGTCTCAGTGTGTTTGTGACAAAACATCCAGCTATTTATTATATTAAAAAAAAAAAAAAAGTTTTTCATCCAAACTGACAAAACATCCAGCTATTTATTATATTTTAAAAAAATAATAAAAATATTTTCATCCTAACATTTCTGGGCCAGAGTGATGACGTCATAATTTACTGATCTGATGTTGGTCAGCCTGGACCTGGGGTCGCACACTTATAAATTATGGTAGTAGGATGGAAGTTAAGAGTACTGTAGTACTGTAAGAGTACTGTAGTAATACGACAGAGTAATACAATTAATTATAAAAATAATTTTAAAATCAATACAGCTCCTTTTTTATCCGCGATTTATTTATGACGTGGACATATCTGTCCCCGCAAACGAGTCAGGAACAAAATTTTTTTTAAAAAATCTGGTTAAAAAAATTTCCAAATATGTTTGGAAAAAAGAGTGTGAGTGTGTGTTCTGTCCACTGACACACGTCTGGATGCTGACATCTGAATCCCGACTTCCTGTTTCTGACTCTGTGGAAAGCAGAACTAGAGCCGGTGCAGAGGGTTCCTACGGCGCCTGGTACTGATGTCTGCTGGTGCTGGACGACAGCAGAGACCAGGTGTGAGGTGGTAACTACACACCTGGTACCATTAACACCTGCAGGTTATGAGGAACAGACTGAACAACAACAACAACAGACACAGAAACTGAACGAAACGTCTTCCAAGCTCCAAGAAGAAGTCCGGTTTCTTACGACCAACCTCTTCAGATAACATGACCTGGACCAATGAGAACCTTCACAGACGATGGACTCACGTCCTCCTCAGCTGCAGTAAACACTGATTCTAATCAGCACCGTAGGCTCCACCGTTTCTTTTTCAGCTTCGTTCATGTCGTGACTCACGGACAGTCTTTATCATTCACACATGCCTGTATTTATAAACATTTTTCTAGCACTGATACGATCTCTCGAAAAAAGAAAAAAAATGGAATAAAAAATCATCGACACGTAGGTTCCACAGAACGGTGGAATCTTTGTCAGTCAGTGTTGCGTTTAAGGCGTTGCTGCAGGAACACGTAGTTTCCAACTTTATCCCAGGATAAAAACAACAAACAGACATCAGGGATTGATTTAGAGGAAGAAGAAAAGAAAAAAAAGTTGAAACTAAAAACATATTTGGGACGTGATTCAAATCTGAGTACGTAATGTTTTTCACTGACCGATCGGTTGAACTAAAGCCTTCAACACACTACAAAAAAGTCAGCTTTTTCAAGAATGTTCTGGAATAGTGTCTGTTGATTCCCATTACATGTATGTACTGCAAGGATATATACACATACTGTACATATATATACAGTATATATATGTATTTATATATACATATATGTATTTATATATACATATATGTATACATATATATGTATTTATATATACACATATGTATACATACATACATATATTTGTAAACTGTGTGATACTTTCATTTTTTTACTATACAAATTCCCTGTTTTGTCCTTGTGTTGTTTTAATAGTTAATGTCTTGGTTCGTTAAACCGACCTTTGTCTATAAAGTGTGTGTCACTGACGTACAGTGTGATGCAGTGAAACGTTTCCCTCTCCTTTAAAGGCCCAACCCGCCAACTCTCCGCTCTTCTGAAAGCCCTGAGTGCAGGATTTCCTGTACACGACTTCCTATGTGGGATTCACGATCTGGGCTTGAACGCAGCAACAGACAGACGTCGGTGACAGGAGGCACAGCAGAAGACTGAGTTATGGAGATGGTTTTTGTTTAGGGGCTAAAAATACCTCAGACTGAAGCGTCTACAGCGATGACAGTAAAAGAGCTCAGAGTTGAAGTGGCAACTATGGAAGACTGAATAAAAAAAAAAAATTCCAGGAATGTTTATGTAATAAAATGATTTTCTAGATTTAAGTCACTCACAATTCACTGATTCACTTTAGTTGAACACAGGAATTGAAGAAAGACACACGTGAGGATCTTCTTTAACAGCTCTGAGTCAAGTTAGGGTTTTTATAGCCATCCACTGCCACCTAGTGTCAGAGTATCAGTAATTGTTTCCTTGTCTTAAATCCACTCGTGTCTGTCGCCTTATATTCCTCTGCTTTATTTCAAGTTTAAACCGAACAAAAAAACGTTACTTTTTTATGCAAATACAAACAAACAATGAACTGTTTGTTGTCTACAAGATCTCACACACACACACACACACACACACATTCACATCCAAGACTCCAGAGAAACAAAAACACAAGCTCAGCATCAAACGGTTGACAACGGTGACCCCTTTTGGCTGAGTGAGATAAATCACACTCAGGTGTGCGGCCGTCGCAGATGAAAACAACAACAACAACCTTCAGTCTGACAAACATGTCGGACGGATTCACGCAGCGGGAATGAACATAGAACAACGAGACACACACACACGCACACACACACAGGAAGTCCAGACAGACGTGGTTGGAAGAACGACGACCATTAGAGGAGTCGGAAACGTCACGGAGCGCAGAGCTAAGAATACACAGAGATGAATCCATCAGTGGGGAAATAACTCACTTACTGTTGGTGTGTCTGTGGAGGGAGGAGGTGGGGGG